CTGTGGTGTTCGTCGCTTCAATTAATTTTTTTTAAATAAAGCCAATCGAATACTCAAAATGTTGGACACAGCTGAAATGATAACATTTACCGAAAAGTTGATCGAAGAAATAAAACACTATCCCGTTCTGTACGACAAGGTCGCTGCGCGTGGGAAGGACTTCGAAAAAGAGGAAGCGTGGGTATCTCTCACAGAACGTTTACCATCAGATCTTAAAGTTACAGGTATTTGAAATTTTCATAATACATACTACTTTTTATATCAAAATAATCATATTTCCGTAGTCGATGACACGAAAAAAAGATGGCGAACCTTGAAAGATTGTTATTCCAAATATCTTCGCAGTGGTACGACAAGCAATAAATACGAGGCACGTTACAAATCATGGCGGTGGTCAGGACACATGGAATACTTTAAGACCTATGTGTTGCACACCTATCATAATGGCGATGAGAGCCTGTTTTTAAGGTCCACGAAGAAATTTAGAAGACTAAGAGATCGCGCAAGATTAGAAAATAATAGAGTAAAGAACCGAACAGAAGAGCATTTAAAAGGCGAAGAGTTTATCAAAAATGACACTGTCCAACCACAAATAATAGATAAAAACATCAAAGGTGAGATTGATGAGGATGTCTTAGAAGAGGTGGACGACGAATCTTATCAAGCAGTTGCTAATGCCGTGTCAGAGTACGCAAATACTTCATCAGTTGGTTGGGATCAAGAAATTGATGAATCAGATACTAGAGAAAACCTTCAAAATTCCTCCCCGAAGAGTATCGCATCGGTTGAGCACGAGAATTTTATTGATCCTTTGTTGGGGAGAAGTTTCGATGGAATTGATTTAACATTTCTTGGGTATGCTAGCAGCATCAAAAAGCTCACACCGCGAAGGCAATCACTGATCAAATTTGCAGTAGCTAAACTTATAATGCAAGAAGAGTTGGCGCAGCAAAGTGAAAATCAAACAAGTTCATCTTATGAAGGAGTCGTAAAAAATGATATAAGCATTGAGAGAGTGTGATTTACATTTGATTCACATTTACGCCCTATGCTGTAATCCGGCGTAACTGTACGAACATTCGGAGTGATGTCGAAGCTGAAGGAGTTTTACAAAAATTATACTCACCTATACTAGAATCCGTCGTTCGTCCAATTTTGATACGAATCGGAGTATCGGTATGTTGTTCTCCAATTCTCCCGATAGAGAAATCCTCGAATAATTAACAAAGGGAATAGCATTTTCCCCACCAATTTGGGAGGAGAAAATTCGAAAGCTGAGATTTCCATCACGGAACCAATAGCTATATCCTTCAAAGTATACGGATTTTTTTTATACAACTCGGTGGGGATATTTATATTATTAATGAATTTATAACTTTCACAATGTTGCTGCTAATAGTATTTAAGTAATTTGTTGTTAAAGTATCCCGACTACTATCACAAAATTTTAATTTAAAAGGCCACTTTTCACTTATATTTATAGTAATATGCTACCCTTAAAATGTTCGCATGCGTTTGTAACACTTTAATTATACATAATTAATTAAGTAAAACGCGTTTATAAATGTGTATAGAAATTTTTCCACATTTCATAAACAAAAAGAAATAATGGCCGACAGCAAGAGCAAATGTGTGTTACCATACGTTTTAAAAGAAAAGAACACCACAAATAAGGCACATAATCACAGTATACCCTTTCACTACTTGTATGTATATGGAATGCATATAATAAAACTTCTCTATATTTAAAGAACTGTTTTAAAAATCAATACTTCGATAAATAATACAAATTTGTAAAACGAAAAATCGCGCAAAAAGTAAAAAGTGAGGTTGAATTCGACATTGCTGGCAACTTTCACTACAAATTACGTAAAAACTGTAAGCCTCCGGAGGGGGGAGTTTTCGGATTTATAATCAGGGAAACCCGCTCTGCAAACCCTCATTTTTATTTTTTTCGAAAGCCTGGTTCCTTATTGGATAATGTTCCCGAATTTTTATCCATGATAGGAGGAAAGGGAAAAGAGAAAACTCCCAGGGAGTTTCTGTTCAGAATCACCCTGGTAATGTTTTTTTTTTGTTGTATCGAACGCCAATAGGCATTGGGATTGGTTAACAATTTTATTTTATTAATTTATTAATTTCACACAGAATTAGTCTCTTACAGACTAGTAAAGAATCTAGTTGAATATTGTAAACAAATTACTCTTAAATCTATCAATACTTAAGTTAAAGTCGATAACACTACAATATGTATTGCACAATTCAATGCATCTAGCAAATGGTTCATTTTTGGCATAATTCGTGGTATGCAGTGCACCTACCAATAGCCTATTGTTTCTTAAATAGGCGCCATTTATGTGCCCATTGATTAGTTTATAAATAAATACAATGGAGAAGTAATCCATTCTTTCCTTCAAAGACTGGAGACCCAGCAGTTTCCGTCTGCCAATATAGGGAGGAACATAACCTTGCCAGGGCAAGTTGCTAATAGCGAATTTGGTGAAAATCTTTTGAACTCTTTCAATTTTGATCGCGTGCACTTCATAATATGGACTCCATATTATAGAACAGTATTCCAGACGGCTTCTTACTAAAGAGATAGAAAAAGACTTTAAAGTTATTGGATCTCTGAACTCTTGAGTATTGCGCCTAATAAAGCCTATCATTGAGAACGATTTAGATACAATATCGTCAACGTGTTTGGTAAACGCGAGTTTGGAGTCAAAAATAATGCCCAAATCTTTTATTTCAGTGCTCCGCTTTAAAACGCAACCATCTAATTTACAGTCAAAAGATATATCACTACTATGTAGACTTCCACGAGAACGTAACTACACAACATTTACCTATATTTAGGTTCAAACAGTTTAATGTACACCACTGCTGAAATTCATCTAGATCGAGCTGAAGACGATAACAATCTGATAGATCACGCACAACTGAAAAAAGCTTAACATCTTCTGCAAACATCAGTCAGTTTGCAAAATTAAAACAGTTAGGCAAGTCGTTTATAAATAAAATAAACGAGAGTGGTCAACATTGCGTACCGGTGGTATGCCCGACCATGCATTAACGGTCCCTTGAGATGGTGTTGACCCAATTTTCACAAGTAACTTTCTTTACGTTAGAAAGCTCTCGAAAAAATCTAGCAATTTACCACTTATAACGTAACTTCTCAGCTTTTGTAAAAGTATACTGTGCTTGACTTTATCGAAGGCTTTAATTATCTTATTAGTTAAGAGAGCAGGTTGATCTACCGGAAGAAAATCCATGCTGACTATTGGATATTAAAACCCTTTCACGATCAAAAAAGATCGATTGGATTATTTGATCAAATAATTTGGCTAACGTACATTGCTTAACTATAGGTCTATAGTTACAGACATTATTGCGATCCCCAGATTTATAAATCGGCGTAATAAAACATAACTTCCATTGGTCGATGAAAAATCCTTTATCTAAGCAGTTTTGGAAACGAAGAGATATAGGATAAGCTAATGCTGTAGAGCACTTTTTAAATAACATGGGTGAAAAACCTTCAGAGTCGGGCTTCGAACCAGGCTTCAATAATGAAATAGCCAGCAATACATCTTCCTCCGAAACCGAGAATCCTGTAATGGGTGAAGTTGAGGGGAGAATGGGTGTTGATTGGCATGACGGCAGAAATAACTAGGACCGCGTCCGCGGACACTGTACGGTATGCAGAAGCAATGCGTAGTGTCCCTCTGTGCTGGACCGAAGACATTTGAATCCGGTATTTTTTGACTTTCAATGCGCCGGCCCATATTTCTGCCCCGTACAGGAGCACCGACCGCTGTCTTCAGAAGCTTCCTGCGGCATGGCTGCGCAACAGACTGTCATACGTGGCGTTCCAGAGGTCCGGGCCAAGTACAGACCCCTGTGCCGCTCCGCCGGTTATACGGTTTTTCTCTGACCTTGTGTTGTGTCGTACAAAAGCCAACGGTCTCTGAGGTAGTCCCGGCTCATATCTAGCAAGTATGTTTTAACCTTGAATGACCGTTCCAAGGCCTCCAGCATGTCGTCCCATCTTGCCGAGTTGAAGGCATTCTTGACGTCCAGTGTGACTAGCAGCACTATTGGCCGCGCCTGGTGGCAGGCTTCTTCGGCCTTATGTACCGCCTCGACTACTTCGCCAATTGCTCCTATAGTTGAGTGTCCCTTCCTGAAGCCATGTTGTCGGGGTGAAAGGCCTCCCTCGTATTCTATCGCTGACGTCAAGCGTATTTTGAGCAGACTCTCCATCATTTTGCCTGCTGTGTCTAGCATGCAGAGTGGCCGGAAGGATGAAGGAGAGTTTGGGTCCCCTTTGCCCTTGGGTATAAGCACCAGTCTCGCCTTCTTCCATTGGCTTGGGAAAACCCGGGCCCTAAGGCAGCTGTTGTACATGTTAAGCAGAAGATCAGGGCTCGTTTCCGCTGCTAACCTGATTGCCTCCGCTGGTATGCCATCTGGGCCTGGAGCCTTGCCGGCTTTCATGCTTCGCAGGGCTAGCTTCAGCTCGTCTGTCGAAAACAGTGGTGCCTCGGCTTGCTCCTCGACGAACACTGTATCTGCTCTTAGTGGGTATGTGGGAAATAGCGCATCCACTATATTCTTAACTCGGGCTTCATCCATCGCTTGCGATGATGTGTGGAACTTTTCCATCACTATTTTGTATCCCTGGCCCCAGGGTTCGCGATCCACTTCGTCACATAGCGCTTTCCAGCAGTGTTTAGGGTTGATAGATAAGCATAAATAATAAATAAATATGAAATTTAAGCCTGATTAATACATTTTTAAAAACCTTACATCACACAAACAAATCGATTTAATAGTTTTCCAAATATCTCGAGAACGGGGCGAGGAAAAAATTTGAAAAAATCACACATACACACATACAAATTCTCTATGAAAAGAAACATTTTTTTTTTAACTTTTCACATACAACTTTTTAAAAAAAAAAAACTAATTTTTAAAAATATGCCATCTCAAAAATAAAATGAAAAAAATCACAATGGTAGCTCTCAGTGTTGCGCAATATTTAAGTATAGTATTTCGGGGTGCACACTACAAGAATTTGAGTTATGATTTTTTTTTTTACACCGGTTACAAAATTACAAAATTTCTTAATTTTTTTAGAATTTTTTTGAGTATGCAGTTTTGTAGCCCATTAAACTTTTGTATAGTAAAGTGAAAATTTTAAGCTACTGCAAAATTGTGTTGATTTTTAATATTTTTTATGCTGACGGCTTTTTGCACTTTTTTCTTAGGGAAGAAAATGCGCAAACCATTTTCAAAGACAATTAAAAGAAATTAACGCCAGTTTTGCAATCGCTTAAAACTTGCACTTTTTATACTAAAATAAATTTGGGTACACAAATAAATTCTAAAAAAAATTGTAAAAATTTTTAAATTTGTAATTCACCCCGAAATACTATACTTATAGCGTTTTCTTTTCTCAAAAAAAGTCCGAGGGATTTTTCTCTCGACGGCCCTGGCTATAAGCGCACATTTTTCGAACCAGTCACGATTCAAAATGAATTACAAAAACTAAAATCGAAAAACTCTGATGACGTAACAGGTTCTCCAAATTCTGAAACAACCAAAAGAATGAGAATGAAGAATTTTTTGGAAAACAACAGGGTTTAAACACCGATCTTGCCATGATGCTAGATTGTGAATATGAAAGTCAGGAGGTTACATCTGACATTTGCAGCCCCGATGCAATTCTCAAAAAGGAATTATTGCACCGCAATAAAAAAAAAATAAATATAGCTGAAAGCCCGCCCTCTCAACTCGGGCATCGTCAATCGAAATGAATTTACAATTTTGTCAAGCTTCAAGTTTTTCAAGTTTGTCGCCTCGAGCAAGAAGTCATTTATGCTCGATTTACATGAGGCGATTCAACATTGCTCCGGGAAAATCGCTCGTGTAAATGGTGATTAAAAAATCGCTTGCCTCAAAGTAGACAGCAAGTCAACTTTTGCATGCGTCTCTTTTCATTATCGTCTGTCAAAATATCGCCTCATGTAAAGGCAGCTTTAGTGGCGCAGGTTTGATTTACGACGCCTTAAAAAACAGGTAACCCGAAAAGGTAGCAACATTACTTTTTATCAAATACAACGTTCCAATTGTTAAATTCAAGTACTAAAAAAACATTAAAAATTACTAAATTTTCAATTTTTTATTGATCTAAATAACCTAAATTATTCTTATTATTCCCTAAATTATTTCTTAAAAATACTTGACATCCGCATTCGCATACGCATCCGCGGATGTTAGCTTTTAAACATCCGCATCCGCATTCACATTCGCGGATGTCTAAAATTCCATATTCGCAACATCCCTAGTATGTATGTACATATGCTATGTACGTATGTAACTGTCCGAATTCGGTGATAAGAAAATCGGACAACGATGGATATGTTTTTAAAGTATATGTACTTACTGTTTCCGACATTATGACTGGGTTTTGTAATAATAATAATAAAATGTGAAATTTTACATTCTAGCATTGATTTTTTATTAGGTTTTGTCTTTTTGACAAACACATAAATTTTTCATTTCAATTCTAACAAAAATAATACATAGTGAATCTTTTTGTATCATATGAATATTTTCGTGATAGAAATTTAATTATTGAAATGCTACCAAAATAGATATACATACATACAAAGTTTACATACATAGATTA